GTGAAACGGGCTCTATACCGGTAGTGGGGTCCATAGGAAAAACCGTGGTCCATAAAAAAAACCGTGGTCCATAACAAAAACCGTGGTCCTTAACAAAAACCGTGGTCCTTAAAAAAAACCGTGGTCCATAACAAAAACCGTGGTCCTTAACAAAAACCGTGGTCCTTAACCGAAAATGGCGGAAACCGTGGTCCATAATAAGTATCGTGGTCCAATGAAGATATCGTGGTCCATAAATCCGGAAAAATCGGCGGTTATGGACCACGATACTTATCGTGGTCCATAGAATCGGGATTTCAGCCAGAATAGGACCCACGATACCGGACAGGCCGCAAATCGCCGGTTTTCGCGATTTTTACCGGTATTTTAGCAGTTTAAAGGTATCTGCACGTGTTTGGAAGTTTCAAAAGCTAATTCTCTGTCGAACTGACGGACCAGATGAGGTATTTGGCACGATATGTTATTACATTTATGTAAATATCGATTTATTTCGGTATAGAATTCTTACTATATATTCTTAATGGTGGCAAGGACCATAGTAAGCACAAATAGGTGGGTATAAAAGGAAAAGAGGTAGGGTGAGAGGATTGGGGGACTGGGTGAAGAAATTAGCGGTTGCGCCTGATGCAACACAAAAAAATTTGAAACTAAGGCGAATTGCGTCGGCGTTGATAGTAATTGTGATAGTTGGCGGGTGGTGGATGCAGCATGGTGCTGCGAGATCCCTGAAACGAATTCTGGCCTAGGTAACTGGACATAGAGATTTACCTGAGAGGACGGCAGCAGCCAGGGATGGTCGTCGTCCCCTTCGTCCTCGCTCGAGGGCGGTGTCGCCAGGTCTTCCTTGCGCATACGCTAAATTAGGGAAGGATGGTGAAATAAATTCGTCATTATTTGGATCCTATTATGTTGATGATTATAATTATTATTTTTAGGGTTAGGATTAAATTATTATGATTGAAGAATATGATATTATATGGGGGAATTATAAAAATATAAAATTACCAGGAGTGTCGCTTTAAGCTGTCGGATCGCGGTCTGGGTGAGCTCGAGGGTGCGTCCCAGCTCGGCTTCCACCTTAGAAATGGTTTGACGCTGAGAATGCAGACTGGTATACCTGAGTGGGGGCGGCGACAAGCGGCAGGAGCCGATCCAGGGCGAGAACCCTTTGCCTGATCAGGTCGAGGCCATTGATTGGCCGCATCCAGCGCTGCTGGATGGTCTCGTACGGCTTCGGGGGGAACTGAAAAAATAATGGATTGAGGGCGAGATAAAGTATATTAGGGAAAAGATTAATAGCCTACCATTTAGCGGAAGGGACGAGACGAATCCTAATGCGGGGAGTGTCTGAACAAAAATTAGCCGAAATGAAGGTTTTGAAGATAATCAACCGATCCAACGGTGAAAAGATAGGCGTGGAAGTGGCAGAGCTAACCTTTATTGAATGGCGAGAATAGATGTCAAGTGTCGAAAGGCTAGGGATGTTTTAAAGGGCCGGGTGGTGGGGGCAGGCGCGGGCTGGGGCGGGATTGACAAACAGCGCGATGGCAAAAAACCGGCTGGTAAATCGAGGTATATAAGAGAAGCAAATAAAAGTGGGAGGTAAGCTAGGCAAGACTGGCGTTGAAAAATAATAGCCCGAAACTGGCAATTTTGGGTTACGGTAGCGGATCCACGTTTAAGTGGCGGGGCACCCTTTAGCGAACAGTATAATCACTTGGATAGTAAAGTGATACTCCAATGTAGTTTTCTATTGGTTATTTCACTTTTTTTATGGGTAATAATAATTGATCAACAAAAAAAAATCAGACAAGCACGCGCCTTACGTTTTTTGCTCGCGCTTCTTGCCGATTTTTTGCTCGGCTGCAAGCTGAAACGCATTTACACGGCGTTTCAGAGCGCGCACGGGAGGGGTGGTCGAGGCGTGGTGTAGTGGTCTAAGGCGGCGGTCCAGCCCCGAGACAGGGGGTGCGGGTTCGATTCCCGAGGCCGCAAACCTTTTCGTTTTCTTTTTGCTTTTTGCTCCAAATGTTCATAAAGGAATTCCGTAACCCTATAAAACCCAAAAAAGCTGGCTAGCACCTTCTCTCCATGCGGAATAGGCCAGTAAAGATCGTAAGCCGATCGCACCCTCTTACAGGACCCATTCGCTAAATTTCGGCGCTGGGCTATTCTAAAACTAGGTGCAAAAGATAGAGCAAGTTCTGCTCTTCGTTCCTAGTCTGCTAGTAGATTCGAAAACCGTCATAAACAAAAGTTATAGCTAATTGAAAATTTCAAAAAACACTGAACTGGAATCGTCGCGTAAATTTTTAAAACCCCAAGTTGACTCAATATTGGGTAGTTCATGACAGATACTCTTCCAGAAAATGTAGTTGAGGCGTTTGAGCCAGTATTTAGCTGGATTTGAGCTCAAACGATAACTTGCACCTCATTTTTCAAATTTCAAACCATCAAAAGTCGCGTTTTCAACGCTCGATTTTGACAAAACCACTATTAAAAGATAGAGCAAAGTCTCTTCTATTTTTTGAGCGGTCGCTCAGATTATGAAAACTGCCATATAAAAAAGTTACAAAGGCTTGAAAGCGCAGAAGACAGACCCCCCTTTGCTTTAAGAACCAATTACGCGTCGATTGGAGCGTGCCGTAGCCTAGCCCCGCCTTCCCCTCTCATGCGCGTTTTTCTTAAAGGATGAATCGCCGTGTTTAGTCAAGTCTTTGTCTCACGGAGTGAAATGAATAGCGAGGATTTTCCTATAATAGAATATTTCGGGCAGTATAATGTCGGAAGTAGAGGCGTACGCTTGTCCAACGATGCTCTGTCGCTATAGTACCCCATGGTCAACTACTCTGAAACGACATGTACATTCCCAGCACCCTGGCATCACTTAACCGGCGTCCCGGGCGCATTTGAAGGAATTTGCGTGCCAAGAATGCGACAAACGCTACGGCGTGCAGAAACCTCTCCGAGAACATCAGAGATTGAAGCATGCAGCAAAGCCTACTGTTGGGGACGCGCGAATCACTTGCTCGGTGTGCCCGGACACGTTTTCTAGCCACCAGGAACCAGTTGTTCACTTCCAGCAGCATGATGAAAAGTACGCGGGTGTCTTTAAGTATATGCTTTTTAGATGCGCAAATGCCACGCTTGAGCTCGACTCCGAAACTATGTTTAACGCATGGCTAAAAGCAACTGAGCATGAGAACTTCTGTTCCTTTTTGATTAAAGCTCAACAAACATCAGTTTGACAAACTTGCCAAAGAGAATAGAAAGGCCACGCCGATCCTCGATGCAAGCAAGACGTACCAGATGGAGAAACGAACCGCAAGGAATGCGTTCTTGGCGCAGCAAAGTAAAGCCAAATATTAATCCCTCGAGTCAGGTTGCTATTGTTTATTCTGTTGTTCCTGTTTTTGTTATTTTGCTCTTTTTATTGAATTAAACACTTCCAAATGCGTTTCAGCAAGCAGTCGAGCAAAAAATCGGCAAGAAGCGCGAGCAAAAAAACGTAAGGCGTAGGCTTGTCTGATTTTTTTGTTGATCAATTATTATTATCCATAAAAAAGTGAAATAACCAATAGAAAACTACATTGGAGTATCACTTTACTATCCAAGTGATTGTACTGTTCGCTAAAGGGTGCCCCGCCACTTAAACGTGGATCCGTTACCGTAACCCAAAATTGCCAGTTTCGGGCTATTATTTTTCAACGCCAGTCTAGGCAAGCAATGGCTCCAAATCAGATGGGATAGGCCTTGGCCATGAGAACCAGCATCTGCTGCATGATCTTGGTGCGCCCGGCCCCGCGCCGAAACATATACTCGAATAAATGAGTGGGGAGTTGATCTTGACTAGTACCGCGCAGATGATTTATAGAACGTTTCATAGCCCCCCAGGTTGCCTCGATGCTCTGGGTATGAACGGCAGCATCTTTGGGATCGATAAAGTGAAGCTTATGATTAACAAACTGGTGACTATACTGTTGCTGCAAATTCTGGATTCCCCGGTATGCCGCCCAGCCGTCTGAGACGATTTTGGTATGGGGGGCCACGTTGGCCTGAATGATCGGCAGAAGAGTGGCCGCGTCTCGTTTTGCAACGGGGAATGCCGCCATTCGATCAGTGCCTCTTTCAATCTGAAAAAGTAAAATAGAAAATAGAAAAAATGACTCACTAGCCCAAAAACCCATTTATATTGATTATTTAACATCCGGCCACGATGGTGCTTGGCACGGAAAAAGCAACTCTCATCAATTTCCACAATCTTTCCCTGGCCGCCTAGCTTCTGATTCTGAAGCGATTCGAGGACCCAGTCTTGGGCAAGGTCCCGGTATAGGTTCCAGCGATCCTGGACTGTGGACTTGGCGATCCCGAGATCAGCGCTGACCTTGGCCAGGACTGCCTAAGCGAATGGAAATAAGATACAGAGAGAACCGTACCTCAGGATCGGTCGACCATCTCGCGAGCAAGCTCATTTCCTGGTAGAAAGTTAGCTTGGAGTCGGTGAACCAGCTATCCTTCCTAATACTATACTTGCTGCAACTGGAAGCGCTGCGACAGCTGGAACAACGCCAAAGGAAACCGTTCAGCTTAGCCTTATCTTTGACGAGCGACATGGGCAGTTGATCACCAGGGCACTTCTGGACGTTATGGATGAGCCGGTAGCGTGCCAGAAACTTCGTTGTAACTTCTTCCCGATCGGGATCGGCTGGACGGCCAAAGCGGACATGAAAGGTGGCGGTAGTGATGTTGTTGGGCCAAGCGTCCCATCTGGAGGCGCCATCATCTGCCCAACCTACGCACCTTTTCAATGGTAGCCCTTAGAGACCGCCTCATACCTTTCTAGCCAAATGGTTCGGTGGAGCGCATCCTCACCGATCCAGTCATGCATGACCAGTGGCGCCGCTTTGGTTTTGATGAAATTAAACGCATGTTTCGCTGGCAAAAGTTGTCCAAGGGTCTGTTCGCCTTGAAATTTGTCCTTGCCACCTTTAGGATTGCCCTCCTCTCTAAAATCCTTTGAGGTGATCATACCGTGAAGCCAATCGATGAGCTTTGTCCCTTTGGTCTTCCTCGTCGGGATCATGGTGCTTCCGCCTTTCCTTTCCCCCTGGTCCACATTTTTTAGTTTTTTGCGACTCCCGCCTCACCCTCTGCCAGGACCTATTGGATTGGTATCTAAACCAATGGAATAACTCGGTGATGCAGCTTTTACCATTCCTTACTTCTCTCTGTTTCAGTACGACCTCTGCCATCAATTCTTCGGTATCCCGATCAGCTTCCTTCCGGACCCCACCAGCTTGCCGAAAATTCCTTAATACTCCCCTAAAATATTATTTTCTATAAACCTCTGTGTAATTTAGTTAGAAATCCACCGAAATAAATCGATATTTACATAAATGTAATAACATATCGTGCCAAATACCTCATCTGGTCCGTCAGTTCGACAGAGAATTAGCTTTTGAAACTTCCAAACACGTGCAGATACCTTTAAACTGCTAAAATACCGGTAAAAATCGCGAAAACCGGCGATTTGCGGCCTGTCCGGTATCGTGGTCCTTATTCTGGCTGAAATCCCGATTCTATGGACCACGATAAGTATCGTGGTCCATAACCGCCGATTTTTCCGGATTTATGGACCACGATATCTTCATTGGACCACGATACTTATTATGGACCACGGTTTCCGCCATTTTCGGTTAAGGACCACGGTTTTTGTTAAGGACCACGGTTTTTGTTATGGACCACGGTTTTTTTTAAGGACCACGGTTTTTGTTAAGGACCACGGTTTTTGTTATGGACCACGGTTTTTTCTATGGACCACGGTTTTTTCTATGGACCCCACTACCGGTATAGAGCCGTGAAACGTGGGGGTCCATTCTCGGCTTCATAGGCCTCTTAAAGGGACAGAAACGGCAAGACTATAGATTTTCTGGCTCATGGCTTTCTTTCCATTGCGTAATGGATTACGTACGGTTAATAGCCGTGGTCTGGCTTGCGCGTCGCATGTCGCCGGCGCCAGTAAAGCCCCAGAAAATCTATAACTTTGTCTTGTCCGTCCCTTTAGTCGGATTTTTCTGAAAACCGTTGCGGTTTTAGACGCTAAACGCTGACCTAATTACCGTATACCGTAGCTACCATCACCACATTTCATTTTCAGACGAAATCAGCATCCCGCTGCTCGAGAGTGGCGTTTGCACTTTCCCGATTCTGCAGGTATTTTTTGTGCGAATTTTTCTTCCGGATTTCGTGATAGGAAGGTGGGGATCTTTGGAATCATTTTCCGAGAAACGGACTGATTACGCAGCGTACGCAAATTACGCAAATCACGCTGAGTGCGTAGGAAAGGGCATTCTGAGCAAGATTGACGCGATTTCCCTTTATCACCCGGATTCTTTTTCCAATTTCTGCTGAAACGAGGAAATGGAATTAGGGATGCCTTGTTGAGAAAGTGCAAGCCGGGGCAGGACACAGCAATTTCCGGGGAAGTACGGAATTTTTGCGGGGGTTCTTTGGTCTTTAAGATGACTCACAAAGAATGGAAAATGAGACGGTAAAGATGTGAAAATGCTTAAATTTGAAAGCCGTTTTCAAATTATTCATTGATCCAGAATCTAAGGTACTGGACTTTTAGCGGGGGGGGGGAGTTGGACGTAAAGAAACAAATTTCCCCCATTAATTCCATACCTTCAACGAAAAAATAGACCATTTTTATAGCCTTTTAAACAGTTTTTAGATATCAAAAGTGTATGAAAAAATCGGAAACCATTGACTTTTACGTAAAAAATGAAAAAAAATCACCAAAAAAGGGATAATTTTGAAATTCAAAGCTTTATAGGTGCTGTCTAAAATTTGCCAGCAATCAAAAACTTGTTAAAACCGTATAAAACTTAATTATGCATTATTAACAGATGAAAAAATAATAAGCTGAAATACTTTAGGCCGTGCTCCCATCCATCCTCCTTATGGACTCCAAAGAAGAGAAAGTCGTCGAAAATCTACCAAAACTCTTCCGCATCGCCCAAATGGAAATTGAGCATTTGCTGGTAAGTTCGTTACCCTGACGCCTATTCCCAAAAATTTATAGAACTTCCATTTTTAGGTGCAAAAGCCTAGAATACCTAACATTGGGAATTCATTCGTGTGCAGCTAAAAGTCGCAAGAAAATACATACTTTCATAGCCCTAGAAAAAATTGGAGAGCCAAAAGTAAAGCTTCGGAAATCAGAGATTTGAAAGCGTTTACATTTAGCGTTATCGTAAATAAAAAAGTCAAAATATCGTTTAGAAGTCCCAAAACGAAATGCTCCGTCAGCTGGCAGCGTTCCAAAGCGAAGCAGCGGCGAAAAAGCTGCTACGCGGACTCCAAAATGACAAGACAGCGCCGATTTATGAGGTAACGAAACGGAGTCAAAAACGTTGGGTTTTTGCGGTGTAAATCTGTACATACTGTATGTATGGAAATTCGATTTCATCTTTTCATTTTTCCCTTCAAATTTTTCCAATGCCTGTCTTTTCAGTGTGCCACCTGCAAGAAGACGTTCGTGTCGAGCTCATTTTGAGAGAGCCATCTGAAGCGGCGGCATCAGAAGAAGCCATGGCCATAATTTTTTATAATACTACCAGCGCCCAAAACCCGCTTCGAAGGCCATGGGCCGCTGGACTATTAACTATATGCATGGCAGGTTTGACTTTCTGATAGCTTGGGTCCTTCGGATCCCTCCCTTCCTCCGACCACACCCGCGCGTGCAACTTTCAAGAATGAGGAAATTTGTATTTTTTGGAATTATGCAAAGTAGCCCTCCCCGGCGCCGGACACACACACACACACACACACACACACACACACACACACACACACACACAAAGATACGCGACCAAATTATATAAGGTAGGATTTGGTGTCATGTGTAGCTTATTAATTCTGGTAGACCTGATTGAATTTGGTGTTGCTATATTTCCTCAGTGCCCTGTGATCTCGAAAAGTCTCTTGCACGCATTGTTCATAGATAAGTTAATAATATAAAATGTTTCCAACGTTCTTCTTGGATCTCACGGTCTCAAAGAGAACTGCAGATTGTCGTGCCACACATTGCAACGTGGCAAAATCCAATGGTACTTTATGGGTTCTACGCAAAATAACACTTCGCGAACAAAACAACGTTGTGTTCCCAAAGACAAACGGAATTAAGAAATCTCGTGGCTCTAGTTTCGGAAATTTCCCAGACTGTTCAAAAGTGGTGTATAACGGCGTTGATACCATGTTGAAAACTTCATATAATCAAGGTTCCAAGAACTACAAATAAGTCAGGCAAATTAAGCCGTAAAACTCAAACAGGACAATCGCTGGCTCCACCCAAGAAAACAAGAAGATTGTCTCGCCCTGAACGGCATATCATCTTTTATTCTTCCAAGAAAATGGGACAAGGGGGATCGCAGGAAAATTACAGTACTGAAAAAAATAGTATAAATCACAGCGGAAAGCCTGGAAATTGAAACGATAGATATAGAGAGTTCAATTTTCTCTCGAGGGCATCACTTTCATGCGTTTGAAGGCTTCTTTCTCTAGCGATTCCCGGTCGTCGGGATGGGCGATGTTGATCAGCTCATAGGCGCGTTGTCTTAAAAAGTTTTTGGATCGTTACTAGACATGTTAAGTTCTATAATTTAAGATTCTGAAATTCTAAAGCGTAGATCAGATATTCGGACTTCAGGGTTTTTTAAGGGCCTGGGACGCGAGTATCGATCCTTTCCATCGATCATCTTCATCATCTATCGACAGCTACTTGGAACCCCAAAATATGCTCATAAGCAGCTGAATTTTGATGCTAAAGTTAGAACCGAAATCAATATACGCTCGCAGCAGTGTTTTGGAGCCGCGCGTAGCTCTAGATACTCAATCTCGGGATGGGTTGATTCGCCCGGTTTCGAGAACGCATTTTTGAGAGTGGAATGAAGTTTCTCCAAAAATAGATGGCTTACCTCACCGACTTTCCAAAAAGACTGGCGATACCGTACTCGGTGACGAGGTGGTGGGTGTGGGCACGGGTGCACACCACGCCGGCTCCCTGAAAACAAAAGTTTTAAGGGGACGGAGAAGAGATTACTATGGATCGTATC